ATGAGCTGTCTAAGCTGGAGAACACAGTGGGGTCTCCGGAGAAGCCGCTCTCTGATCTGGGGAAGCTTAGCTACCGAAGTTACTGGTCCTGGGTCCTGCTGGAGATCCTGAGGGACTTCAGAGGAACGCTGTCCATCAAAGACCTCAGGTAGACACGCAGACACGTGCAAAGCTGGACGATTCGGCTTTGCTTTTCCACTTGTTTTGTAGACGCTGTGAAGGTTAAGAACCAAAACGATTGTTTGGCAGCTCAGAGATGCACTCAGTGTGAAAGCTCTGCTGTTTTCAATTTTACAGCAGACAAACTTTTATAAGTTTACGTGTCGATGTGAAACTTGGTACTCGACGAGTTTCTGATCAGAACTTTTAAAAACAAAACCTGGAATTAAAAAACAAACTCTCTGATTTTAACCTTCGTGTCCGTCTGCGTCTCCCAGCCAGATGACCAGCATCACACAGAGTGACATCATCAGCACGCTGCAGTCGCTCAACATGGTGAAGTACTGGAAAGGTCAGCACGTCATCTGTGTGACGCCCAAACTGGTGGAGGAGCACCTGAAGAGCGCCCAGTACAAGAAACCACCAATCACAGGTACCTGCACAGATGTTCCAAAAATCTTCTCATCTTATTACAACATGGCGTCAGGCTCTCAGATCTCGAGGATTCTCGTGTCGGGTTTTTACCCCGCAGCTGATTTGCTAACGTCAGGTGTGATTGTGTCTCGCTCTCAGTGGACACGATGTGTTTAAAGTGGGCGCCTCCAAAAAACAAACAGGCCAAGCTGTCCAAGAAGTGAGGAACGGAGCCGCCGACGTGTGATCACCCGCCGGGCGCTCGTGTCACTACTGTACATAATTTTTAGTCTCTCCTGTCTGTATTTTTTAAAATAAATCTCTAAAATAAAGCTTCGTCTCCTGATCTGATTCCTACATACGTTAAACATCACTGAGGAAACGAAATATTTGCTGCAAGGATGAAATATTCCTTTAATTAGGAACAGAAGATGTTTACGATCGAATAAAAACTCGTCCTAATTAAAAAAACCTTGGTGTTCTTTTTCAGTCACTTTCTCGCTCATCAGGAAACTAAACAGTGATCACACTTCACTCTGGTTTCTAATGTTTCATGTAGTCTCTTTACTTTCTGTTTAAAAAATACTTGAGGTTTTGTTCTTTCATAGGCTCAGAGGTTGGTTTCATGTCTGTATCAGGTGAACCATGAGATTGTTGGTTTGAATCTCCGGGGCCTCCCTGGATGTATGAATATGATTTATATAGTCAGGTAAAGTCGCCTGTTACCACTCTGAGAACCAGGCTCAGGACGGTTGGTTTGTGCTTCATCTGAAGTCTTTTTTTTTTTTTCTCAAACTGAAACGTGTTTTCACGTTTTCAATATTTCTGTCGCTGTTTATATAAAAAACAAACAAACAGCAGTCCACGTGCCCAGCTCCAATCAGCTGGTATTCCTCATGATGACATGCTGGAGGAGCAGCCATCAGGACTAATGAGTTACACCTGAGCTCGGTGCGCAGGTACCGTCCCGCTGATGTGCTGAAGAAAAGGTTATTTTCAGACAGGTGAGTTTTACCTGCTGTCACAGCAACAGTTGGTTTAATGAATTAAGATTTTCTTAGTTTTATTTCTTGAGGCTTTCCTCCACTGCAGGCTGTAGCTGTAGCTTGTCAAACGGCCCTCAAAGCAGCAGAAGATTTAATTTATGAGACGCAAACACGTCCAGCCAGCTGTCCCGGAGCTGGTGTAGTACCAGTATTGAACACAAGAGGGCGGCAGTGCTGTTAGTGACTTGCTTTTCTTTTTTCTTTTACTGTGTTTGGGATGTTCTGTTTTCAGCCGACGTCTGAATGGTTGGTGCAACATTTGTGACAAACTGCAGGTGGGTGACGAAAAGACTGGACTGGAAGAATGAGCTATAACAAAAACACAAATATTCCCTCCTTTGGTGTTTTGATGGGACTTTGAAGAAGTTGCTCATTGTGAAGAACTTAAAGTTTTATTTCTACAGCACACGCTTAAGAGATTAAATCGTTTATGTAAAATAGGAAATATATGAATTAAAATGGTATTTATTAAAATTGTAAAAACTGCCTTGAAGCGTAAATGTGACTGAGATATAATCGGTGTCACGTGGTCCCGATCATCAGGCCTGTCCTTCCGGCTGTGTGTCATCGATCAGCTGTGGTGATGACGCCATCTCCTCTGGCTGTTCTTCATTCACTGCTGATTTGAAATCCTCAACATCTGTGCGCTATTTGACCCTCACCGAGGAGCTCATGTGATTATTGTTATTAACAGCATCACTCGAAGTTGTATTCAAAGTGCTTTAGTAGATACTTGGACCAAGGATGACAGGATCCAGGAGAGCTGATCCCACATTATTATTTTTTAAAGGATTTTTATTTTTTAGACAAAATACAAATAAGGAAACTGTTTGATCAGGATCAGCACTTCCTTCCGGATCCTGAGAAATCAGGTCATCTCTGGCGGGGAGAGGATTTTTATCTTGGCTTCTGTAGCACAGCAGTAATAGTATCAGTGGTGGTGAATTTGAGGAGGCTGATGAAGTGTCGTACCTGGAAGAGGAATTGTAGTTCTGATTGTCGGCCGAGTTCAGAGGCAGACAATCATCCTGCCCTGCCTCCACAGGGCAACGCAGATCTGCAAGTGTTTTCAATCAGCAAGCCTCAAATCCTGATTTTACTGAAGATCAATTCAAGGCCATTATGTTCAACTGAGACTAGATTGGGGAAAAAAATAGTTAAAATAAAACTAGTCTGTAAAACTGGAACAATCCTTGTGACTTAAACTATTAAAAAAAACAAACAAACAAAAAAACACAGTAAATATCGTTAGTTTTCATATGTTTGATAAAGTTATTACAATGTTTCTGATGAGGCGTTGATGGATGTGTGACTCTGGATGTAAACAGACAGAAAACGTAACAGTTTTTATTGTAACAGCTGATTCTCCTAAACCTGGTGTGTGACACACGCCCTCCACACATTATTAAAAAAACTATAAAACAAAACTGAATTAAAAACCAAAAGAAAATGACAAACATTAGTAAACACAAAGCTGCAGCGACTCTGGGCCACATGAACGTATGACACGAGCTCAGACACAAACTAAAGGGAGATTGTTTTTATTTTTTAGAAATTGTACTTTAAAACCACCAAGATCGTTTGTAAGGCATTCACAACAAATCTTTGTCTTTAATTTTTCAGTTTTTAGACTTTACAGATGCTTTCAGGAGGGTTTCCTAAAGACAGGAGAACAGCTAAGGCACAGCAGCACAGCTCCCAGCGAGAGACGACGACAAAGAGGAGACGGAGGAACGGGCTGGTCGGACATATGGACGGCGCCGCGGCGAAGCGCAGCGGGACGCCCTCGCCTGGGACCGTCCTCCAGAGTCAGAACATCTCAGGAACGTTTTCACACAACGCCACCACTTCTGCGACACCGTCACAGTCCAAACATCTGCATCTTAATACTCATTAACTTAAAAACTGTACATCATCTGTCAGGTTTTTACAAAACACAGCTTTACGTAGACTCGCTCGATATATGAAAAATACACACCGGATGTAAAAATGGCTCTGAATCGGTTTGAGTTTGAATAGAAAAAAATAAATGAGTTGAATTTGGTATTAAACTGCAGAGGTTTTAAATTCAACTCATTATGGCCGCTTAATGTAACCGTAAATAAATGTAACCCTCACAGACCTGCGTAGAACCGACACGTTCGTGCTCCACACGCTCAGACTCTTAGAACTTCTTCAGAGCTGCTGGGCTCCAGCTTTGGTCCCATTTATGTAAAAAACAAACAAACAAAAGAAAAAGTTTTGAATAAATTAATCGGGTAACCGTTTGTACAGCAGAAAGTTTGTCGCTTTGTAACGTGTGCAGATTAAAGGAAAGAGGACGCGGACGTCTCACTTCAAGTCTGAGGGATTCAGACATGGCACAGAAAGAAAACACACAGAGTCCGAACAACTTAAATATATTCTGTCCATAGATGATCACTGTAAAAGATTAATCATAATTTCCCCTGATACCCAACTGGCTCTGTGAGAAGATCTGTGGTTGCTGAGAACTGATTTCAGGCTCATTATCTCTGGAAAGCTGGTTAAAGGCAAAATCATCGATACAGTCGCTGCGGTGGGATTTGCATCTACAGCTGCTTCTGTGGATGGTTCATACAGACACGGCATTGATGTAAAAAAGAACATTTTTACAGTTAAATGTCAGCAGTTATTAGTTAAATATTTCTAGATTTTACTTAAACCGATTTTTCTTTTAAAGAAGAAAAAACAGAAATTTTTCCAGCTCAACAGGACATTTAAAAAAAGCTTTCAGAAATCACATACTGTGCTTAAAGTGGGCTGTTCTGCTCCCTTCCAGCTCTATTTTTATTCTTGGACTCCATCAGAGTAGCTTTGCATGATTCAGTGTTCAAAATAATCTGTTTATCTCACAGGCTTTGTGCACATCCTTTCTCGCTGACGTCAGAGCCAAAAGGAAAAAAAAAAAACCTGTGACACAGTTTAAATCAGATTTTGTTTTTTAAGAGGCTGATTTTGGGTTTTAAACTAGTAGCATAAAAAAAATCTCATTCTGAGGCTTGATTCAGGTTTACGTTGGAGATTTTAAATAATGGGCCTAAAGAACGAGCAACCACGTCTGTTCTCAGCATGTGACCCTAAACTCAGGGAGACACTCGTACAACAAGAGGTATAAAGTTCTGCGAACACTCTTAACACACTTTCACTCACTCACTCGAGCACGCACAGCTTTGTAGTCCTAAATAAAAGTGAGAGCAGACCGAATGAGGACTGAAGGAGAAGATTTTCCTCAGTGTCTCTTCCCACTGTTCCCTCTGATGCTCCATCTGTCCTCTCTGTTCACGCTCACAGACTTTAAATAAATAAATACTGGACACAAACGGGACGTCAGCCCCGTGTTTTCCTTCATTTTCCCTCGCCTCATCCTCCCTCAGTCTGTCCGCCTGCTACCTTATCCGCCCATCCTCTCTGGGCAGGCTCAGTTCGGATTTTGGATCGGGGCTGGCGGAGCTCCACGCGGTGAGTCGGCAGCGCTGCATGACCGGACAGGCGCTGGGGCCCATCGAGCAGACGTCTGAGGCGGACCAGTAGCCCTCCAGCAGCCCGTCCAGCCAGCGACGCAACGGCGCCCCCGTCAGACTGGCGTTGGCCTCGGCCTCCTCGACAGCGCCCAGGCTCACCGGCAGCTGCAGGACCGGGTTGAGGCCGTGGAAGCTCTGCTCCATGTAGGAGTTCTTGGCTGGTCCGCCGTGCAGCCGCAGAGCGTCCTCTGGAGTCCAACAGCAGAAGGACAAAGAAAGTCTGAGTTAAACTGGGACCTGAGCTGCCACAAAAAGTAACATCGTCTACGTAAGACGCAGGTAAGAAATAAGGAAACAAATCAAATGTAACAACAGTAAGCACAGAAAATGTTTATCCAAACAAAGACGCACATTTCATTTTGTTTTCAGGTTTCTTTGGTTCCCCGCGGCCCAAAGACTGTATATAAAAGTTGGAAGCAAGAGTAGGATCTGAGTGAGAAACTAACGGCTGCTGCACACGAGGTTCGCATTCTGTAAGCTTCTGCTTCACGTCATGGAAAGGGTCAGTCTCACAACCAAGAGTCGCCCCCTGCTGGTCATGACAGGGAATGCTGGTTTCACTACAGAACAAGTAGCCATTCAGTATCAGTTATAACAGCTTTCTATCTTTTGCACATTTTTCTGAATTTTAAAGGTTGTTTTTTTTTTAGTCCTTATTGCTTAAAAATGTTTTTAAGTTTCACAGTAAGTCTTCATCTTTTTAATTACTGCAACATGAGGCATATTTCAAGAGTAAAATTTAAGGAGCTTACAATACGAAGAGCCACTTTTTGAAGCCTGCTGACCCGCAGTCCTGTGCATGTGCAGCAAAGCCTCAGACGGGCTGTGCAGACAGATCTGACCAAATCCAAACCACTCAACGTTTTTAGTTTATCATTAATTATAAAAACCATGCTAGGAGTGGACATTTCAAACAAAAATGCTGCAAACTTTACTGTGAACTGTTTAACTTTTTAATAAAGTGCTTAAATGTAATTAATGATTATCGGTGGAATAGTTCATTAGCGAGAAGCTTGAGGAGTCTTCTCTAAATTAATTGGAGGTGAATGCTGTTATTTTAAAGTACAGCCACCAGTTACAGATGCCTGTGCAACAACAGTCCGATCGGATCACGTCACGCACCACCTGCACTTCATAGCAGCGCCCTGTAAAACCTCGGTGTCTATTCGTGCACCGAGCTTTACTTAGTCCTGCAGTTATCCCCTGGATACCCACACATGGCCCGAGGAGGTCAAACAAACCGAGCGTTAACCCGGGGCAGGCTAATTCGGACAGAGGTGACCCCGTGTGGGCGCAAGAGGGCGATTGGATACGCCACTATAAATATATGTTTGCATGGTGCTGACAGCTGTGACAGGAGGGCCTCTGCTCTGTGTAATTTAAGTATCTGCTATTGACATGAACAAGTATGAAGATCCTGCATATAGTTAACACTTGTTTCCAGGAGAGTTTCTGCAGGCCGACACTTTGTGCCAGGGTTAAGCCCAACCTGTTATTAAATGTGCTTTATAAATAAATGAAATGAAATAACTCGCTGTGCATGTAAGTGAAATGAATCCAGTGGATAAAAGTACTCTGATTACTAAGAACACACGTTTTCTTTTAACCACCAATGAATTTCTACTAAAGTATGAGGCTGTAAACTTGGTTTAGCCAAAACAGATGAGAAAACTTGCAATGATGTGTAAAAGTCCAAGTCTGACTCACAAGCACAAAACAGAGACTTCCCATCTCAGGGAGGTTTTAAACCTGCACTTATTCTTTACAGGTAGAGCTCCCTTGGTCCTGTATATTTCCTGGAAACCCTGCACTCGTGCTTCTAAGCAGGATGAGGTCCGATCACCCACCTTGCTGTATCGGCCTTTGCCTGTGAAACTCCAGAGGAGCCACGATGAAGCTGGTCTGGCCCAGCGGGCTCCAGTGGTGCAGCACCCTCAGTGTCCACGTGCCGGGCCTCAGCGGGGAGGTGAGAGGCGGCCGGTAGTGTGTGACCTCAGCGGAGGCGTCCACCAGGATGTCGTAGGTGGCGGCGATGACGTTGGTGGGGTCGATCCAGACAATCGTAGCCGTCAGGTTGCTCTGGCTCCGGCTCCAGCGCTGCACGGCCACCGGCTCGTCCTCTGGCCCCAGGAGACGCCCCCAGTTCCTGAAGAGACGCTCCTTAGGATCCCAGTCGGTCCCCACCTGAACAGCAGAAAGGTCAGAGACGACTCTTAAAGCTGTCTATACGAATGCGCTGCAGCTTGACAGAGTTTAGACATCGGTTAGAGAAAGGTGCACGTGAGACGCGTTTACTGATAGGAGCCTACCAGCTGTTCTCCAGGCTCGATTCCTCCAACTCTCTCCTCTCTGGCATCAACAAAAAGTCACTCTCTCACCTCCAGTTAGGCCAGAATGCACCAACTCAGCTTCTTTACTGGTTTTAGTCCTAGTTCAGGCCGGTTTTGGCTTCCTGTATATTTTTAGAGTTCACTTTAATATTTTACTGATCACTTTTAAAGCATGTCGTGTCTGGCCTCAAGCTACACCGCAGAAGTGTCGACTCCTGGGCCTCAGAGCTTCAGGCTGGTCCCTCGTGGCTGATCCGATCTAAAGCTGGCTGGTTTTGCCACCAGGGCCCCGGCTTTGAACTGACCCGGCCGATGAGATCGAGCTCGCACAATCAGTGACCTCCTTCTATCCAAGAACTCGTTTTTATAGACTTTACGTCACACTGTTACACGTGATGTCGCTTCCTTCTGGCTCTTGTCTTGTGACAAAGGAAAACTTTACAAAGTATTCCGACTGGTTTCTCCTGAAACTGGCTGAAAATGTGTGAAAGCTGCTCTAGAATACGTCAGCGTCACTGCAGGGGGCTGATCTGTTAGCGTTCACTGTTGGCTTTAATTAACCTGTTCTAGCCGGTCATAAAACCACAACTTAACATTTCTGCAGCAGAAATATTGAACTGTTGGAGTCCCAGCGTGGTACAACCGTCACAGTCACATCGGCCGTGTGTGGGATGCTCTTGTTCACGTCTCTGCTGTCTTTCGTTTCTCTGTAATCCTGTGAGATTGGAGATTCACTCTAAATTTTTGTATTTTCACCTACACGTTTTTCTATTTACCTGCTTTCTAATTTTTGAATATTTGCTTTTAGTCCTTGTTTTTACTTCCCTGCAGGGATCAATCATTTCTTAGACTTAAAAACATTAAAGCATCCTGGGACATTTTTGTAACTGAGAATATATTAAGGCATGTAAACTGAGGTAATAATAAACCCAAAACGGTGACTGCAGAACGATGTCCAGGTTTATGTTTAGTTAAGAGAGCCCTCATAACGACACAAGTCTGACCTGGATGTGTTGGAGCCTGTTAGCGGCATGTGGAGAGCTGGTCAGGGTGAAGTGGTCTTTGGCGGCTACCCAGGTCTCCAGGGTTTCCAACTGGTTAGAGGCTTGGTTGGTAGCCACATGATGGACCAGGTAGCCCTGGTACTGGTCGGACAGAAAGTAAAGGTGCACAGACACCGGGTGACTCACGCCGACGTACCTGAGAAAGGAGAGAAAAAAAGAAAAAGCATATTTAAATCACATATACAATAAAGTAGATACAACTTCCTCCCCTGACTGGTCCCAGCAGATGGCTGCCCCTCTCTGAGCCTGGTTTCTTCCTGTTAAAAAGTTTTTCCTTCCCACTTTCACCAAGTGGATCAAACCCGTGTTATCCTTCAAGACAAAATATCTTATTTTATTAGTATCAGAGGCGATCGTGGCTCAAGAGTTGGGTGTTTGTCTTGTAATCGGAAGGTTGCCGGTTCGAGCCCCGGCTTGGACAGTCTCGGTCGTTGTGTCCTTGGGCGAGACACTTCACCCGTTGCCTACTGGTGGTGGTCACACACCAGTGTGTGAATGTGTGGATGACTGGATGTGTAAAGTGCTTTGGGGTCCTTAGGGACTAGTAAGGCGCTATACAAATACAGGACATTTACCAGAGAACACATGATGCTTTGGACAGGAAGTGCAGTTTGTTACAATGTATCAAACTGCAGTTCCTCTAACGTCCACTAGAGGCAGTCTCAAAGCGAGTCGGTTTAAAATACCCAACTTTACAGATAAGATGTTTACAGACTAACACAAAAATGTTTGTTAATTTAATCAATTAAATAAAATGATTTTTTTAAGGATCTCACTAAGTTGACCGTCAGGTGGATGGCACAAGTAACTGTAGCTGTGAAGCTTCACCTCACTGGAGTCCCTGAATTGGACCTCTGGAGTATTTGGAGCATTTTTAATACAATCATCTGACCAATACTTTTCCTGCTGCGCAGTTAATTGTACTGACATGCCACCCAAGAAGTCTGGGCTCCAGTTTTGATGTGTGAAATTCTAGGATTTTAATTGGATGTTATTCAGCACTAATTAGCAGGTATCGTGTCTGCCCACATAGTCTATGAATGCAGTTTGCTAACCAAGCCGGCTAATTATCTGGCACTCCACCCGCTCGTCTACATATGGTAATTTCTGTCTGTGAAAAAAGCCAGCATGGCTGAAGCTGGGCCTTCAAAATGTAACCATCCTGCTCTCGACAGCCGTCTTTGATGTGCAGTCTATGTTAATCCTACGTTTTCCCATTAACTACAGAATGGATCAAATGAACATTTGATTCAAACATTATTTATCCATAAAAATTCATCTTAATGAGTCTGGTGATCATCTGACATTTCATGTGCAGGAAAACCAGTGACGTTTCCACAGATGGTCTGTGTTCAGTGCAAACGATGGATACAGGAAACGCTTTAAGCATTACTGTACAGCAGGGTGGGCAACTCCAGGCCTCGAGGGCCGGTGTCCTGCAGGTTTTAGAGCTCACCCTGGGTCAACACACCGAATCAAATGATTAGTTCATTCCCAGGCTTCTGGAGAACTTCAAGACATGTTGAGGAGGTCATTTAGCCATTTAGATCAGCTGTGATGGATCAAGGACACATCTAAAACCTGCAGGACACCGGCCCTCGAGGCCTGGAGTTCCCTGCTTTGCACTGTAACGTCACAGGCAGCTGCTGGATTATGGCTCCAAATTACTCCAAGTTTTTTCCAAAAATATTTTTAAAAACTTAAACCTACATTCTCCTAAAAAACTCCTCCTGTTTAATTTTTTTTATTTATTTTTTTCCAAGTATTGTTGGACTGGTAGAAATTCAGACTCCCTAGGAATGATGCTGACGCTCAGGTTCGCTGCCTGATTGGCTGTCGTTAGTCACATGTCCCCATTCGCAGAAGACAACAGAAACATCAGCACTGACTGTCTGTGGTTAATTCAACATGGTAGTAAATTACAGGTAATGCTGCCCTTGTTGTCTTTGAGATGCACCCAGGATGTGACTGCTCTCCACAGTAATGCCAATCATTTGGATCCAGCCTCAATTACAACATTCAGAGCTTCTGATGATTAGATTTTAAGGCTTATGGAGTCTGTTATCTCCCTTTCTGCAGCCTTTTCTGCATTTTCTTCTGTTGTGTACACACTGTTGCAGTAGTGCTCGTATATATAATAAACTCAGGCTTTAAACTCTGTAAATGCTCAAATTCAGACAGTTTTCTGCTCTTTAATCTTTATGTAAAAGAGTCCTTAACATGTTCATTTTTCTGCTCTGATTGTGAGCTGCACTTCCCCCCATCCTGCTACGATTCTGACTTTCTGCTCTGAAGGGGAAGCCAATCCCATTAAAGACAACTCAAAGAAGAAGGGCGCTGAGACAGACAGAGGATGGACCGGCCAGCGTTTACTGACACAGATTAGGATTATTTTGACTCATGCAAAGGTACTTTGCTCCAAATGTGAAACCAGCTCTTTGAAGAATGACATCAGGTCGGCTATCATTCATTTCCTGATGAATGGCTTCACCTTATTATCAAAATCGTCTTTCAGGTGTTTATGTCTGTTTCTCCTTTTCCATTCGGACGGGCAGGCGAATGTTTTTCCTGGAAAACACTTTTTCTTAACGTGACAGCTTGAATCCCTGAATCTCTACAGAGGATGTGGAGAATCTCCAAGGACCTGTTAAACCAACTAAAGCACCACTGTGAAGGGAACCGTGTCTGCCTGCTTTCAAATGCATCTATGTTACTGCAGACATGGTTTTAGAGGTCTCCGACTGAAATCACAGGTTGAAGGAAACAGACTGGCCCTTTCTAACCACCCCCTACTTCCCCTTGCACACACACACACTCCCATAATGCTGCCCCCACCCATGCCAGCCACCAGTCCCCACCCAAGCTCCAGCAACAAGTACCTCCTTGTACCTACTGTGGGTCTGTGAGAGAGACGGAGCTGGAAAAATCTAGCCTGTGCAGAAACTGAAGCCTGATTGTACAAAGGAACAAGCTCGCCTTATCTTCATATTTAATTTGGACTGCACAAACACCAGCGGTGGCCAGTTTGGCGGAAAGACATTTCATCTGCTAGTCCTCCCCTTTCCCCTGAGAAGACGACTGCACAGTTTCTTTCTCTGCAAAAAGCACGATTTACTGGCACGGCCAATAATAACAGTGACTGATGGAAACTGATGGAGGTGATGCCTGCACCTCTGCTCCAGCCTCTGACAGCCGTGCAAACACTGAGCTGAACCTGATGAGACGAATGCTTCAAACCAACAACAGCTTCATCTTCACTTTACAGTTTCAAAGTTGTTGGAGTTCAAACCTGAAGGCTCTGCAAACACTGCACTGCATGGCCGATCACGTAGATAATAAATGAGAACTGTGGGGAAAAAAGGGATCCTGAGACACGATTACGCCTGTAGATGGATGCTCGCCCATGCAACACCCTGTGCTATTCCCAGCCTGATTGCCCCTGATAAAGCCGAGGTCTTTATCTCGTTTCCTGCCTGCAGGTGAGGAGCTGAGCTCGAAAAATAACCTGAGCAAAACAACCCAAATTCCCTCTTTACAAACCAAAAAGAGGCTTTTTGGCTGACGTGTTTGGACTCTTTATGTAGGCCAAGTTTTCAGTATGATTTTAATTAAAGCTTGCACAGCACTACATTTGATTAATATAGAGAAAGCAGGAAACCTGAGCAACATAACTCATTTTCACACATCCTTTCCAGCCTGAGCTTCTGTAAACATCATCTGACAGAGGTGTGAGAGAACGTAATGCCTGATGCAGATGGATCACACGATCATACGTTAGCCGGCTGGAACCCGTCAGTGACGTCAGACTGGGCCAGTGTGCGAACACCGCAGCTCACAGTCGGGCACATTTACTGCTACTGAGTGGGCATTATTCCTGCAAGCTCCATGCATGCAGACCCCTCAACGAAACCACACGGAGCGGTTCCAGTATCGAGTGGCTCTGAAGTGGATCGATTCCTGCTGTGTGGCGTTTGTGGAAAATATCCTCACAGAAGTGTCCATGTGTGAAACGGTGACAGTCAATAATCTGAGCTGTGAGAATCATTTTTCTGCTAATCCGAAAATGTTTTTCTGTTGATGCCGTGAAGCACAACACTTCCTGTTTGTTTACTCTGAAGTTACACGTCATGATTCGATGCACTCTGAACGTTTATGCTCCCATTTGTGGTTATTGGTGTTAACAAAAGAGCCTTTGGATGCTTCTGGGACAATTCTGAACCCCAGTGCATACATGCACATGCACGCTTGGGATTTCCGTGTGGTTGGAGCCCAGCACCCTTGTTCGTACCTGCAGCTGTTGTCGCTGGGATGTCCCTGGAGCGAGCTGGCAGCGCGGGACAGTCCCATACGAGCAAAGGCGTGGTAGTGGGTGAGCGCAGAGTCCGACAGGCCTGCGGGTCCGTCTGTCTCTGCCTCGTAGATGTTCTCCCAGTAGGCCTGCAGACCCGGTGTTCCCGAGGCGAGAGCTCCGAACAGGTAGGCGTCCAGCTGGCTGATGATCTCCTGACTGACGCTGGCCTCAAACTTCCGGGCGAAGAAGGTGGGTCTGGACGCTTGCTGCGGTCAGGAGAGACAAGGCGAGGAGGGATGAAGATATGTGCACAATAAAAGGCAGTTTGATGGTCACAAAGAAGATATTTTACTGTTTTCACTGACTCACTGGTTGAAATGAGTCCAAACACAAGGAATACAATCCCATGGTGCCTTGCTGTCACAAACAGGTTTATTCATGCTGTTTACGTCCAGCATACCTGCAGGATCACTGATGTTTACCAAGAAAAACATGAAGCTCAGCAGCCTCAGTCACTGCTTTCTGCAGCTGTGGTGCAGTGAGATGAACGTTGTAATGAAATGAGTCAGTTTCCCACCAGCCCAACAGCTTCAACACTGAAGCCTTTACTTTACCCGCGTTAACTTCACAGCTACCTCTGCTTTTGACCATTAATGCAATGTTTAACCTCTTTTATAATGTCTCCACTGCACTGTAAGCCATTCATCCATCAACACCACTCACAGATAACAATTTCAACCACTTAGCTTCACTTTCAGCGATTTAACTCACTGCCACATTAAACCATTTACGTTTGACGATGCACATTTAAACCTTTTACCCTTTACTTTCTGCTGTTTCACCCATTTACAATTATAAGCATGGAAGATTTATCACTAAAGCATTAGAAATAATAAACCAAATAATGTCCTTGTTTCTTGTAACAATTTCAACCATTTATCCTTTTAAGTATTTTAACAATTTATCCGTTAAAGTTTATGCTTCTATTCACATATTTAGTTTTCACTTGTTTTTAGTCACATGACAACATGTCCAGATGTTTTAGCTCTGGAATTTCTATACGGATAAATAGAAATTAAAATGTAAACAAACATCAACTCATCACTCGGCAGCTACAGAGCCACCGAGCTCATACTGATGATCACGATTTCAGTCAGAAACCCCCAGCATGCAGCTTCACACGTTAAAAACTGTCATTGCAGTAAAAGACTCAGCATCACACACATTTTTTTAAACGCGCACTGAGGGAAAAACATACTTTGCATCATTTTATTCTCAGTGGAAGGATGGCCCGGCACCTCCCCGGGAACACATTAGTCCATGTGAAAACCCTGTGAGTCAGCACATTCCCAGACAGCTTACCCCGACCTACACCTGATTCTAACCTAAAACCAAGTCTGGAAACCAAAAGCAGCATTTTGAAGGTCTGCCATATGATGTTCTCACTCCCAGGCTCCAAACTCAAACCACTCCCAACAGACAAGCCTGACATCATGCTGGGATCTCAAAGGAGACGTGAACGGCTCCTTCTTTCCTAAAATAGCTGTGATGGGAAAAAAGACACGAAAATGATCAAATCAGACGGTAGTAATGAAAGTACCGAGCGAACATTCGCATTGACAACTTTATGAGGTCGCCACCTGGACTGGTTTCCAGTAAAAAGGTGAATCATATCAAATATTAACTGGTGAAATTTCTCGGCTCATGAATGTAATTTTTATGCCACAGCAGAGAAACAGCTGCTGTAATAATCTGTATTATGGTTCAGCTCATAAAGGAATAAACATTTAAAACATTTTGAGGTTTGTGATGATGGGACGGCATCACATCTGCTTTGAGCTCTGCTGGTTTTCAGCAGAGACAAATCAGATCTTCAGGTCCTGCGAGGGCTATCGCTTCATGCAGGTCACAAAAGGCTGGAGTTTAGGAGCTCTTTCATAAAGGTGTGCAGTGTATGACCTGCACTGATACACTGGATCCTTATTATTGAGAATTCAAAGAGCTCTTGGTTTAGCTGCCGATCATAAAAAGCAGAAGTGCTCAGAACATGTGGGACAGAAGTGACGAAGAGGCTGAGAGCGAGAAGAAGAACTGCAGGAAAGAAGGGCGTGGCTATATGATGTCACCAGGAGGGTGTGACCTCACCACGCCAACTCGGTGGGCTCCGGCAGCACCGGCGAGCCAGGAAACCCCAGACTAATGAGAAGGCCTGAGCAGCCTGCAGCTTTGTTCCTCTGAGAAGTTATTCTGGGCGATTTGTAGCTAAACAACAGTGGAAACCACTAGTTACAGAGTCAGGGAGCCTTTTTGTTTCATCCATCATCAGATCAGAGGGAATCATATAAATCTACCTTAACTGCAAGCTCTCCGCTGTGCCCACAAAGGTCAGGCAAGACTGTGATGCTGGAGCTTTATTTAGCCCAGATATGTCATCTTTAACCCTTTTATCCTTCAGGTTATTCCAGCAGAGCCGTATTCCCTCATTATTCCCATTACTGATTATTGTTGGCAGCAGTTTGTCCAACAGAAACCAAACTAAGCCTTCAAACTCCCAACCTGACATTTAAAGTGACAAATAAAGCCAAACATACTCAAGCTTCCCATCAGAGGAACCTAATGAAACCACAGTATTCACATTTCAGACGCCGGCACCAGTGAAGTCTTTGCTCGTCACGTACTTTGGTCAGTTACAAGTCTGCACATTATCTGTGAAATGTTTCCAACTGATTTAAAGAAGTCAACAACTAAACGAGCAGTAACTGATGCTGTATATGTAAACAGTTTGCTACAAATGACTGATTTTTCAGTGCATTTTATTATTTTTTATTGGGGCCTAGTCTAAAAACTAAAGCGTATGTACATATATGTCCTGTGACCCTTATATCCAGGACTCTGAGCTGCTTTTCCAACTGGCAAACCCGACATTATAATAATGACAACCTTGAGAAACCTCAGCAGTGAGTTTTGGGGAGCTACCGAGCTCTAAAAATATTTTTGCCATAAGTGCAGAGCCGTTTCCAGGATCAGCTCTCCTTATAGAAGCCATCAGCAGCCCCACCACAGGCGCTGTCCTCAGGTCTGTTGTTACAGCGAGCTGAGGCCCGCCTGCTGGAAGTAAAAGCAGCACTGCTAATTTGTGAATGCGAAGCTATTCTGATCTCTGGTGACCTCAGGAGGAAAAGAAGGCGGAGCTTCTGAGACATGATACGGCCACAAATTTACCAGATTTCATATGAGTAAATCTCAAGTGTGGATTTATCCAGCCTTCATGTGTTCTCACACCACCAATCATAACTGTGACAGGATCTTCTTACAGCCGCTCATAATGGCCGAGACTCTGTTTTTAGCCAGAGGTGGAAAAAGCTGCATCAGTACAACAGATCTGACTTTAGGTCGGGAACAGCAGGAAAACGGGAGGCTGGGTGGGTTCCAAAGCAGCTTGCAACTGTATGCACGCTAAACTGCAAACGGTGAGCTTCACTCGTCACTGGTCTGCGTAAATTAATGATGTAAGTTTGGTAAATATTAGGAGCAAAAGTTGCCTCTATCAGGGAACTACTGTTGAAGGGATTTGGTTCGTTGTTACGAATTTTTGAAGGACGAATTATTTGTTCACATCAGATCGGGTCTCTTTTCTGCAGGCATCTTCACTTCTGAATCTGATTTTTCAAATTCAGTTCAATCTTTAACTGTTAACAGATTTCTCTGTAGGGCTTCCCAAGGTTTTTTCTTCGGGGTTTTAGGGGACAGTACACATTAATCAAGAGACAGAAAATGCTAATGTTTTAGCAGCTAATTCATACCCACAGAGTCGACCTAAAATTCACAAGTTATTTAAAACAAACAAACAAAAACAGCCACACAAACAGTCCCTCAGTTTCCACCAAAATGTAATCTACAATAAGACGTCCGAATGAACTTTCTGGAATTCAAATCAGTTTTTGCGTAGTTCTGCTAAAAAAACAAACAAAAAAAAAAACAAACCCACACAAATGTCACTGGTGTTGCTGTGCTGCTTGTGTGATTACTGCCTGTATACAGGAAACCTGGAAATTAACAATTTGTACTTCTTATTCCTCAAAGCAAATGTTTTTAATGCGTTTGTGGTTATATAAGATTCAAACGTTAACTCATGAATCATTTTACTAAAAATATATACATGTTCATATGTCACGTTTCAGTCCGAGTCTCTGATTGGTTAGTTGTGTCCATGTGATGGAGGAAGCTCTTTGGTTAAGATGAAGGGTTTTGCTGACCCTGAACGCTCAAACAAGAAACTGTCCAGAACATTAACAGTTAGCGTGATAGTGTTTAAGTCACTTACACACTAATGTTAATGATATTATTGATGCTTCAGGAATCATTAAAGTTGTATTAATGTGTGAAGATGTAATGCAATGACTTATTTTCTGCAGTAACAACAGTTTACAGAGAAAATCCCAGCAGGGAACCAGGCAATGCTAACGTCCAGGTTAGCCTACAAAAGACGTCTGTGCACATCATCCTGACAGAAACAAGTCCAGCTGTGTGCAGCTGGTTCAGGCTGAGCTAATTCTACTGGACCATCATGTTTCATGGACACAGTCAGCAACTCATTAAACTCAGACTCAAGTGTTTGCTGGGATGTGAGCCGGTGTTACAGGACAACTCACTCCAAACACAAACCTGCGTTCACTCGTGTCTGTGCTGGTTTTACACGTAAGTGACAAGTCTCCACGTATTTTTTTGAACTTATGCAAGTTTTATGCTGGGCCCTGATTGGCTCTAAGCCAGCTGTGATGTCACATGATGCTGCACAGTGTGGCGTCCTACCTGGAAGCGCGGCAGATCTGAGGGCTTGAAGTCGTTGGGCGAGCAGCCGCACCAGTCCACGATGTGCTTGTACTGGCACTTACATCCCAGTTTGCGGTTCCAGTTGGTGAGCCTCAGGTTGTTGTCCACCATGGTCTCGCAGTGGGCGCTGTTCTCCAGCACGGTGTGGAAAAGGACTGGAGGAGGGAGAGGTACGTGTATCAGTCATCATCGTTTGGCTGTTTTATGCATTTAATGCAGAAAAAAACCAAAATCTCATTTTGCTTTTTGACTTATCAAATATATAAAAAGATTGTGATGATAAAGAGACTCATGTAAAAAATTAGAAGTGTTTCAGGTTTTTCAAATATTCCTAAAGTGAAATAAAACTGAAATATTGCCTCATTTTCAGAGAACAGACTTGGAGGATGTCCCGGGATCGTTTCTGCTGGAATACTTTTTTCTTGTTAAAATGACAGACTCTGCATCGGCGTGGCGTGTCTGAAGAGTTCTATACATGTGTGTGCGTGTGCGTTACCTCGGCGGGCAGCAGCGTGTAGGCGTAGAAACGCTTCATGCTGCCGACCAGCTCGTCCTGGAGTTGACCACATAATCCACAAAGCGCCTGTTGAGCAGGAACCAATCAGAGCCTCCATCCACAGAAATGCCCTCTGGGATCTTTCGATCTCCAAGACGCCACATGTGGGTGTCGCACTCGTAGAAGAGACGGTCCAGGCCCTGTTTACGGATGAAACTGAGAGGACGCTTACGATTACTCAGCCTGAAGCGTGCTGTAATGAGGCCCTAATAATGACACCTTTTAACCTTTAATGTTATTTATTTTACTTAATGCAGAGTAGACCAGTTTTTATTGATCTATTATTGATTTATTGATCAGTCTATTCTCTGTCTGAAATCCCGTTTCAGCTCCCATCAGCTATTCTGTGATTCAAAGGCTGGAGGATGAGGGGCACAGCCAGTGCTAACCCTAACAGAGTGCGGTGTTTAGCCCACATGTTGTATTTATGTCTGTTTTAATATGATATTTCATATCAGCATCTGACACTGCGACACACACAGGCTTATGTAAAGAACCTGAAAGCGAGCAGTGTTTCCTTCACATAGATTTCCTTTCTGTGAATCCAGCCAAAGATGTTTCAGTGGAACTGCGCTGGCCCCTCGAGGGCTTTCCAGGAACCGAGCTTTGGTTAACTTGGATATAATTTTGGGATCATTTTCTCGAAGCGCAGGAGCATTTCCAAGTATCTCCCCGCTTTACGCTCACAAACGCCGAGAGCTTCAAATCATTGTTCCATGAATCCACGATTCAGGTTCAGCGGCTCGGCCCGCAGCCCAACGTTACGCTGAGTTATTGTGCAGCTTGTTTTTCACTTCATTGCACTGTTTTAATAAAGGCCGTGGGGCACGCATGCCTTACCGTGCGTTGTCTCTGCCGTGAGATTTGATGAAGTTCATGCTGCGGTATTTGGACAGGAAAGCCACCAGCTGCTCGTTGGCCCTGAGGAGAGACGACAGCTGTGATCATCAGATCAGACTCCATCTGACCGGGAGGTGTGGGTCACAGAAACAAACACACCGGCCCCATGCTGCGAACGCTGCTGTGACTTATGTGTTTGGACCTGAGTATCAACAGTTTTCAGTCTGTTTATGTCTAGAAGACGAGCAGTTTGACAGCAACAAGGTTTATAATGTTCATGTTGTGGTGTCACCATGAGCTTCAGTGCTGCTGTTCAGAACGTAATATTAGGACAACTACGGCAAAGATGAAGATGAAACGCATCAGGTCGAGCTGTAAAATGAAACGTCTGCTGGTTTTAAATCCCTGTTGTTAGCAAACAGTTTAACAAATCTCGGTTAAACGCAGAGCTCTGATCTCAACATCGTGGAAGTTAGTCTGCGTGACGAAAGGGGAACAGGAAAATATATCAGATATACAAAAACCTAAAACCAAACCTGGATTAAACAAGTCTAACGTGAGTCTGAAGCCATCAGCTGGAGCTTCATCCAAAACAGAGTCTAGGTGTTTGTTTTTACAGTTACAGTAAAAGCTGGCGTGTGAAAGTTACCGTAATCAACTAAAATAATATAAAAGCGATCAGAAACAACAGCGTGCTCTCACAAGATAAAGACGGTTCATTTTGTCAAGTGTTACTCTTTAAAATTACTCTAAATATCCTCCGTTAGAAAATAAAACACTTTTAAACAGCAGCAGTCCTAATCCAGGCTCACCAGGTGTAATAATAACAGCCACCTGTCATGTGACCCCAACTTTAAACTATTCATAGGACTATTTTTGAAAGCATCCAGACTTCAGCTGCTCATATCACCAAATCAGACGACACTGAAACAACACTGCAAGAAGTTTTCATTCTTCTATTTCATCCATCGAGCAAATTTTTATCTTATAGAGCTGATTTATTGTGTTTTCTCATCTACTCTCTACACTCTGTTGTATTTAGTAACTGTTTATTTGGCTTTGTTGCACTTTTTGACCCATTTTACTTTATAGTTCTATATTCAGCCTTCACATGGTGTTCAATTGTTTTTTATTTAGATTTTTACTGACTGCGATCATGTATTTCATTTTACTTTATTTTTCTATTTAATTCTTTTGTGTAATTTTTACCTCATTAGAGTTATTTTCTCATAATGAGCTGTTCTACTTTCCTTGGGGGGATTAAAATAAAAATAAGTATGTTATTTTATTTCAGTCTCCCATTATGTAATAATTCATTCATATCTGATCCTGACATGATGTCGTGAGCCTTTGGCCTCCTGAAGAACACAAACAACACCAAACCAAACATTTAGGTGTCTGATGAGGACTTTAATTCCTTTGACGGCCGTACGTCTAAGCAGGATGCTGTTGCTGACGCAGGATGCGGCTCTTGTTGTAAACTGTGCAAAAACAATCTTCCATTTAGGGGAATCGAGGTGATGCTGCGTGGCTGTTTTTTGGGACAGCTGCCCCAGTTTGTTTACTTCCTCTTCCAGGCGAGGGGAAGCATCTCGGCTTCAGCGCGAGGCCTGAAGCTGAGACGCTCACGACTCTCCCAGCATGCACAGCGTGAGCCTGGTGTCGGCCCGAGCTGCAGACAGGACAGCAGACGCACAGATCGCTTTGATTACAGCTGATTACAGTCGTTAAGACGAACCGCAGGCGTGCATGTGTGCATTTGTGGCCGTGTTTGTGTTGCTGCTGTGCAGAGGCACAGCAATCTATAGCTGGTCGTATATCACCAAAGATTTCTCACATGTACAGATTATATTTACAGATGTGTTAGCTGAGGAATAATTTCACTTTTTAACAGCTGGTGGTCGTTAAGTGATGTTTAGCTAAGAAACAAACAAACCTGGAAACAGGCGTGGACGCACGGAAGCAGAACTTGTATCTTGGGCTGCTGTGAATTCGGATGCTTTGACATCTGTTAGGGCTGAAACTGTTTTGTTCCCTTCGTGTTGAGACGCATGAACTCGTGTTTCTTTGCTGACTCACTGTTTATATGCACCAACCTTTTTTTCTACATAATGTGACCTTAACTATAAATCAATCATTTTAGGAGGAAACTCAACAATAACAGAAGAGTTTCATGTCATAGTCTTATTGTTTTCTTTCATTTGTTTCTTAAATGTATGAACGACACATTTGTAACATAAACAGCTGGAAATCATCAGTTTGTATTTAGCTCCTAATCTGAGCTGATCACAGTTACTGGGTTGGTACATCTGTCAAACTGGCCTGCAGTGGTGAGTACATGGACAAAACACTAAAATCATCTTTTTCTCTTATTTTGTCCAAGAACAAAGATAAAACATGATCCCACAGAGCAGTGCTGTGTCTCTTCCTTCGGTGAGGCCTCTGGCCACAGCTGGCCCCAATTATTCATGGAAACATACTTTATCTTTTTAAAAAACAAGAACCTGTTTGCCACAATCTACATGCAAACACTACGCTTGTTTTAAAAAACATCTGATTAGGTTTTTGCCTGCAGATAGACGGGCCGTCCATGACTCCCTGCAGTGTGCCAACGTTCAACACACACGTGCAAAGACAGCGTGACGGCGAAAGCTGAAAGAACTGCATACATTAAGTTTATTTCACCTTCCTGCTCAGCTGGATGAGGGCGTTCCCCTCTCTGCTAAATCGGATTTTTCCACAGCCTCTGTTGTTTAGCCGTCATCTCGTTGTCAGAACAATATAGTCTTATTCTGCCAGTGTTCATCAGGACCAGCGATCAATAAACTCATTCCCTACTTATCCACATCTCCCAAAACCTTTCCTCACCCTGCTCCGACTCTGGACACTTCATGGCACCACAAACTCCACAGTGGATCTTAGGACTGACGAGAAAAACAGGTCTCGAATCTGCTGATCTGTGACCTTTCTGATGGTTTTATGGTCTAATCTCCAGTTTCAGGTCTGATTAAATTCAAAATGATGTAATCTTTATGAATTATGATCCACATTAGGGTCCAAGAATCAGATTATGCTTTTGGGCGGGTCTAGTTATGACAGACATGTTGCAAACATCCAAGCATGTTGCACAAACACTCTGCTTACGAGGGGCAGCCAATCAGAAGGTGGTTTGCTTTAAGTGGGCGGGGCTAGAAGATGAGTTGAGAGCTGCACAAAGAACCGTGAGAAGATAAACGAGGAGCTGCGACTCATTCAAAGCCACCTCTCGTAGAGTCCAAGAATAATATATAGTGTGACGGGTTCACTTTGACTCCTCTCTGTCCCGATTAACTGAACGTCCTCCTCACAGAGCGGACTTCCTGACGCGCCCTCCTGCTGTGCTCATGCACATTTCTGGTTGCTTTAACAGTTTAAGAGTTGAAAACTGCAGAGACTGATCTGCAGTTTTACCGTTTAGCCATTTGGAAGAAACGTTTGAATGTTTAAGTGAAGAAAGAGAAAGCTGTGTGACCCCTCTCCCCAGAGAGCCGCCATCGCTCATGACGTCACAGCGATCGATGGATGCTGTGGTGCTAACGCTGCAGCTGTGTTATGGATTTTAGCCAGAAGCATGTTCAAACCATCGCTGTTATGGAGGACAGCAGGCCGGTGCTCGTGAGCTCACGAGGACAGAACGATGGGAAAGAAAAAAGACTGAAAGATGAACACGTGTCATCAGTCTGGAGCTCTCCACAGAAACTGCTTCGTTTAGATGAACGCTGGCTTTAAACAGTCAGCATTACGACTCCAGGTCTGATTTGGGGAAGTAAATAAATTTGATTGCATCTGTGAGGCTTTTAGCTCTCGGTCCAGACTCCAGGGTGTGGAAATCTGAAAAATGCTGTTTCACTGTGTACAAAGTAAACAATGACCTCAGCTGCTCAGCCGTCCACCAGTAAAGTTTAAACAACCTTCAGTCACCTTTAACTTTCCATTTAAAAGCTAATATCAGAGTAGCCTCAGGCCTTTCAGGGTGACAGCTCTCTCTTTGCTTCCATGTACGGTTTGTTTATGTTTGGATTTCTGCTGTGTGTGACTTAATTAGTTCATGTATAGTTTATATTTCTATTAAAACAGCAAACTAACCGCTGGAGGTAATACAACAAATACCATCCTGAGAGGAAAGCAGGACGGAAACTTTCATGGATTTTATCAAAGAAAATGATCGATGCATTACAAACGCTGTGTCTTCTTCCCTCACAGAGAAGAATGTCATTAGCAAGGGCCGCAGCCACATGCTAATGACATGTTGGTGTGCTGCGAGCGTGCACGCCATCGTGCTATTTGCCTGCACTGTTGTGCTCATGTTGTGGACCGTGGCCGGTCACTGCTCAGAGCCAATCTGTTTTCACAGATTATAAAAGCGGGAAAATGAATAAAAGCTCACTTGAATGTGAAGACTGTGATTCTTATTTTGTCTCTTTCTGTTAACGACCAAAGGACAGATTATCTTTAAATAAACGTTAAAGAAAATTTGGTTTCTCTCTTTTTCAGACTATTATCTGTACACCATAGATATGGTCCTGTGGGACAATTCCACCAGAGCGGCAGATCCTGAAAGACTCAGACCAGCCACGCCACATCAAAGTAGACGTGGAAACTACCTGCGTTTCTGTGTCTACGTCACTAAATGAGTTTCGGTCATGCAGCTGAACAAGTGTACCTAATAACTTGGCTTTTATATTTATATACACGTACAAATACTGTTATGCTGTTTGATGCCGTTTTTATTCTTCTCGATATATAGTGTCATAGAGAGGCGTTATAGGTCTCAGGAACAGAAGCTCCACCCACCTGCTGCGCCGACCCTCTGTTTATGAGGGCAGCCAATAAGAAGAAAGCTATGATATGCCTCTGTCACACAGGCACATACAAAATGCCTGTGGATGCGATGGATGGAGCTAAAACCAATTAGAACAACTGTGTGATGTAGCTCTGAATGCCAAAACATTAAGAACAGGCTTGAGTGGAAATGTGAGCTCTGAGATTCGTCTGCTTCCAGGGTTGAACTCTGGTTTAAAACTTTAAGTCATTCATAAATATTTACAAGAAATAAGAATGTGGATCAGATAAACACTTACTCAGAAAGAGCACAAAGACACTGGCTATTGATTCGTCTGCATGCATACTTTTCTCTTAAGATTTGCACCTAATATTGGACTCTGTGGAAACTGATTAGGTCACAATGAAACCTGATAAACTTAAACCAACATCCTGGCTGAGGTGCATTAAAGTGCAGTAGAGCTGATTCCTTTCACACGTCACCCATCTGTGACCCTCTGACATCCCCAAAGCCAGCTCACACCTGCTCCTAAATTGCTAGAAGACCTGCCTGAGGCGTTTACTCAGGAAGGCGAGAAGCAGCTGGATCTCATCTTGCTTCACATCCCTGCACCAGTTCAAACACACCGATGAGCCAAAACGTATCCTCCACCGGCCTCTTTATGTAACCTCGTTACTGCTTCACATAATTCAGGACTTCTGCTGATCACTGCCGATCGATTCAAACCGAGACACGGGACAGCCAAGAAGAAATGCTCCGCTTCACAGCTGCAGGCTCACGGCTCGCTCTGGTTTACAGTCGTATAGATCAAGTTACCAATAAACCACAAGAGCATCAACTCAAACAAACAAGGCCCACAGGACTGGGCAGATTAGTGGCTGTTAGCTGACATGAGTGGCACAGCTTCCACAGCCATCTGTACTACGAAGCAAGCTCAACGTACGCAGGTTATCTTCTCTACCTGCGGTACAGTCGGGAAGCTACACCTGCAGCCGAGGAAGTACGAGGAAGGAAGAAGCCAGCAAAAACACTGGCAGAAAGAAATGTGTCAGTTAACAGATTATCAGCATCACAGCTCACAGGAAGATCTGACTGTAATTACAACTCTGTACGCTGCCATTGTGTTCTTTAAACAGAGGATTTCAAATGATGACTGACAGTGTCAGGCTTTTACATTCAGGAGCAAACCAACTCCAAACCAGGAAGTAGCCTGACTTACAAATTTATAAAAGGTCGTCACGTAATGACCTTTTAGAGCAACTTTAGGTCTGACACATCTTCCAGCATTGGTGGTACTGTTGCTCATGGGATTAAATGGTGAGCAGGTAGTTTTGGAAAAGCTATTAAAACCTCATTTCACCAACTTCAGTCTATTTTAAACAGATCTGTGGTGTTTTATCCACCAAAGGCTGTTTGTTTTTCTGCAAACTGACCTTTTCTTACATCACCAGAATCAGTCAGATCACATTTGCAAACTCGACATAAACTACATGAACTACAGGCACTTTCAGCTGGGGCTCATCTTCACACTGTAATCACATCAAGAAACACGTTTTAATATCAGGTGTAAACTTCAGCTCAGGCTCTTACCTGATGGGGTAGTCTGCAGCGCTGAGATTGATGAAGAAGTCCCAGGACCAGTCGGCCATGCTGAGGATGTCCTCCATGCTGCGTAGGTACATGGTCAACAGGCTGGCCCCGCCCCAGATGGTGGCCATCCTCCAGGGAGTCACCCGCACGTTTGGATACCGGCTGGCCAGAGACACCACCTCTCTGTGGAGGTAGTTGGACCTCTGAGAGAGGGAAAGGATCACAATTAAGAAATATGACAGCGGTGATAGGCTCCACCCCCCGGGATCCACTGGAGATGGATTTTTTTCAGCAGTTCAAACACTTTGTTACTGTGGACATCGACAGAGCTTCAAAACTGCTTTCTCAACCATTCCACAGGATTTATAAAGCTCACTATAAACGCACATTTAGCTCCATTTTTCAGACTGTGAAATCAAGGGTGTCGGACTCGTCCCAAGAGATGTGGACTGGGCGTCATGCTGCCGGCTTTATAGTCACTGCTGCTAAATGCTTTGGTGCAGGTTTAAATGAGGGAACAAGAAAGTTGCCTAAAAGTGGCGTGTTACGATGTAAAGTCTGATTATGAGCCGGTAATGCTGCACAAGTTTTAAAGCTTCTCAGCTGAAGACGTGAAAAATAACAGATTCAGATAAAGTGACGGCCCGGCGGTGGGGGCGCGCTAGGACTGTGGACACCTTGCAACAGAGCGTGCACAGACTCATGGGACTGTTAGTGTTATTTATTCAACCTTTATTGTAGCAGGAAGTCCCACAGAGATGGAAATCTGTTTCCCTGGGAGACCTGTTTGAGGCTGAGCCACGCAACTCTCAACATAATAAAAATGCAACAGATCAATTTATAGTGGAGGCTTACACAACATGATCTAAACCAGCAACAGCAGTCTTAAGATGACACAGTCTCTGCATTCTTTACATCAGAAACCTGTTTAAGTTCAGATGTTTTGCAGGATTAGTGTTATTAAGTATAGAAAACGCTGTGACGCTCCATCATTACTACAGTTTGTGTTGTTCTCTGATCGTTGTCTTAATTACGACAGTGTTAAGTTCAGGTAGCAATGAGCTACTGATGACTGAGGCGACTGTGCTGACGTTCATTGACTGTAACTGTTCTTTAAAGCTGCAGTGTGTCCAAGTCCTGCTGCAGAAGTGAGATCTCTGTCCCAGTGTCGGCATTCATTATTTTAAATTATTAATTACGTTTTGTTCCCTGTGTTATTCTTTCCTGCCTTTTTAAAACCAACATTTTAATGAGTTTGACGTCTCAGCGTAGCAGAGCGGGATTCCGCCTCGTTCCGCCTACGGGTTGTCTTGAAGCGTGACTTTTTTATTAAGTTCATCTAAAGAAATGTGACAAGAATTAAAAGCACCAAGGCTGAAACAACAAACCGAGCAGAGACGTGCTTCCAAAAGCAGTTTAACCTGAAGTTAAAACAAATCAGACCTTTACCAACCCAGCACACTCGATCACACAAACAGGAAGTACCTGAGCAAAAGAACAGATCTCCCTAACAGATCATTTGAAAGCCGGTCTCAAACTTTCTCCAGCTTTTAAGTGAAAAAATTTAATATTTATAAATTAAAATTAAGATATTGCAAAAAAATCCTGCTCTGGGCGACGGTCAGCAGTCCTACCTGGTCCACGTGGATGTAGTAGTAGTGTGAGGTGTGGTAGATGGCTTTGAAGAGACGCTGGAACTGACGCGAGGCTCGGCCGTGGACGACCAGGACGAGGCGATCCGTACAGGCGAGAAGCATCGGAGGCGTCCTCGTCCCACTGTACGTTCACATTAGCTTTACCTGGACAGGAGGAGGTCTGTTAACATCTCACTGATAAATCCATGAATCTCTGCCTGTGTGAAAAGTGTTCCTCCCGTCCACTTCACACTAGCAGGTGAGTTTCATGGTCTTATGAATAATAGTCCTTTTTTAGCAATTAGTAACAAACAAAATCCATCCTCCTGCTTCTCTGCTTTTTGATGCTAAGATGGTTCAATTCAGACAGGTAAGGTAAAGAGGGCTGTGTTTAACTGTCAGTCATACAAAGATAGACCCCAAAAATACCAATATGGATCTGGAAATAAGCAGAACGTTTCCTTTAAGACATCAGCGTCACTTCTAAGCCCATTCCTCACTCCAGTTCTTCACTTCCGCCTTTCCTAGTCATGCCGTCTGCAGCTGGTCGAGCCCAATCTTGTACATACAAACGCTCTGACAGCCTAATGCCTCCTCATCATCCCGCCGGCCTTGGCTTGCTTGGCTTTAATTAGTGACCTTTTTGGGCCGTGGAGCATGCTGGGATTGGAGTTTGAGGGGGGAATGACAGTAATCAGGCGGCTGAGTCGAATGCAGAGGCAGAGATGCGTCAAATACGCCCAGGGACGTGCACAGAAACACCAAACTCCTTAAAAGACCGAACGCATGCCCGGCAATCTGAAACCAAACCCCTGCCCGGCTTCACTCTGAGGATATAACCACTGGTGTGTCATCAAAACAACCTATAATCATATAAATTAACCCTCAAACGGCCCTGAGTAAATCATTAGTCAGCCTTTCCAAAAATAAGACTACAAACTGCTTGTTTAATTAGGGTGTAATTATGCTGGATGAGCATCGTCCTCCTCTGTGTCCATTCATGCTTCAAGTCCCTGAAAATAGAGCTGGCACCCGTGAGGGAGCCTCTTTGCATCTACGGCACGTGCTCAGTTAAAAATGTTTCTGAAGGGGTAAATTTGGAAGGCAAAAATCCCTTTTCCACTTACTGCAATCTGCCACTTCAAAGCAGCCACTTGTTCATGTCCTTTCTGTCTTGAAATCTGTCGCCCATTCATTTGCTGACAAATGAATCACTATGTTAACATGAAAGGATATTTCAGACCTAAAATCATAGGTTAATACATGCAGACTACGAATAAATCTCGAGGTGCTCATACACGTGGAAATTTAGTCGCACTGACACCCGGAGCAGACTGCAAGCGATGGATCGCAGCACCGCAGCTGTCAGCTACATCGAGGTAGAGCACATTACTGAACGTGCAATTTACAGATTATCAAAGTGATCTGTTTATATCTTCATGCCAGCTTCAGACAAAGAGGGCGGGCAGCTTTCATCTTGATGCCACCTACACATCCATCCTTCAGATGGTCAAGAAGAAACGTCCTGTGTTTTGAGCCCTGAGTTTCGTATTTTTGGACATTTGCAAACGTATTAAAAACAAAGACATGCATCAACTTATCATGTTTTTCTTTATATCTTCATCATGTCACCATTTATACTCAGATGGCATAAACGGCTGTTCATAGACACCAAACAATAAACAATACTAAATACATATACTTCTTCACAAGCTACATGTTCATTATATAAACCAAAGCATGGATTACAGGCACTGTTACCGTCACCGCTTGATGAACAATCATTTCACAGATTTGCATGACAATACATCCCTGGTACCTTCACTGTAACTGATGTCATGTAAACAACAAAAACATTTTATCATCTTTGCCACATTAAAAATAAATAAATGCTTGTGAGACAGCTCACAATGTGAAAGCCGTCTGAAGTGAGGTTTATTCGCCCCGGGCAATTGTCAATCCTGGTATCCAGGGCAGCTTATACAGTAAGTTTCTTTCAGACTGAATAATATGTCTACATGCGCTACAATCATAGTAAGAGTAAGCATGTCTCCATTAATGTCGAGTAATCTCTGTAATCTGATTGTGTTAGTGTTTAGCATGTCTGATGTTTTGTGTCTTCCTGCATCTTTGTCGAGTCTTCGTCTGTGTCAGTTGTTCTGTTTAGGTTACTTCCTGTTTTATTTTGACAGTATAGTGTCTTTGATGAGTTTCAGCTGTTTCCTCCCTCCTGTTTCATGTGTTTCTCTGAGCCTCTCTGCTTCTTTGTGTCCATCTGTTTTATTCTTGGACTTTATAAACATAACAGATTGTTCAACCTCTGCTTCATCAAATCGATCTGGAGCCTGCGTTTGGGCTTTTCACCATTCATGACAGTAATGAGGATGACTATGATTCACTATTCTATTTATTTTATTCAGAGGTCCTCAGTTCGTCTTCATCCTCATCTGTTTTAGCTTCGTTCGCACAGTCACCTCCCTTTATTCTGATTGGCTCTCCCTCACAAAGAGAAGGTTTGAACAACATTGATGCAGCAGAAAATAAAACATTCCTTTAACCTACAATTTAAGGATTTTTATGACTTTTGTGTTTTTTGTTGTTGGTTATGTGAATAATATGAAACGCGTCTGTTGTTACCTGCACACACTGAGATGTGATCTTACCTTCTGCGGGGCAGTAGCGAGGAACTTTCTCGGGCATCAGCGTCCCCTCCTTGTGTTTGCAGTACACCTCTACTATCTGCTGCCGGCACTCCCGGCTCTTGGCTCTGGAAAGAGCTGAAATGGCTTCTTTACCGCTGATCTCACACTGCAGCTGCTCCTTCCTCACCTCCAGACCAGGCGGCAGCGGAGGAGAAGCCGGCTTCTTGGTCTGGTAGAACGGCGAATCCGGATTTGACCCCTGAGCCGGCGCTGCAACCGTTGGCAGCTTGGGGTGGGCTTTACGGGTGTGGGTGTGGTTGCGATTGTGGCCCGGCACTCTCGGTTGGATGGGAGGGTACTTGAGGACCTCGTTGGCAGATTTTCCCAGCATGCTTTGCGCTTGGCTCTTTTCTAGCTTACGTTTGGCATTTCCGACCGGCACTCGCTGGCTATGTGATCGGGCCCCCAGGTTGCTGTTGCTGTCGATGGTGTCAAAGTCTTTGGGGACCGAGTTCTCATTATTGTTGCTGTCCAGGCGGACTTTCTCTTTGGGGCGGTGCGAGTGGTAAACGTTCTGCAAGGAATGACAAATATAGTTCTTACATAAAGCAAAAATTAAATAAATTAAATCAAAGAAAACTCTTCTTTAACAGTTACAAAGACAGGCTGTGTATCCATTTACAATTATATGATGCATTTTTCAAGAAAAAAAATTTGCATCGTCATTTTGAATCCAAATACTAAAGTGAGGGACGTGGACCAGCTGCAAGGAAATAAATAACTTCCAGCTAAATCTGAAAGTGATGAGGCTAGAAAGGAAAGTTTGGACAGGACGGGAGCAAAGCTCAAGTCAGGAAGACATTTGAACCCTTTAGGCTCTCCCTGCTTCACATACATGTTAAATGTACGGAGCTCCACGTGTTACACACACGTGAGCTCGTTTATCTCCTTGGAATGAATCAAAGTGTTGTTCCTGCACATCACAATAAAACAGAGCAGAAGCAAAGACTCGTCCACACGCCGGGGTCCACAGCGCTACAATCAGAGCCTGGTGGGCGTCTGTGTTTCAGCAGCATCGCCACATGACCTCGATGAGTATTTTAATCCCACAGATCTCCCCCATATCTGTCTTTCCCAGGATAAAGAGTGCGCACACACACGCACACACACACACACACACACACATACACACTAAGCCCCAGCAGGAAGACAGTAATATCAGCTCTTGCCACCTGCTTCTCAGTCAACCTTTCATTATCTCATCTGTAATATCAGCTCAGAGGAAAGAGTGTGTGTGTGTGGTGTGTGTGTGTGTGTGTGTGTGTGTGTGTTGCCGCAGTGAACATTTTCAGCTCTCCTGCCATTATTATAAGTGTGATATCCAGGAATAAAACCTCCAGAGTACAGCGAGAGATAGATTTCACACACACACACACACACACACCTTTTCCTTCTTGAAACATCTGACTGAGGTTTTTTCTTACCTCTGAAATATGTCGGTCTGGACCAAAGTCTCGAAATTCAACAGAAAACTGTGAAAAACGTCTAAACTTATTAACCTGCCAACAACAATTTACACGCAAACACAAAATAACCACAAAAAGATCTCAAAGACCCCCCCAAAAAAAAAAATCCCAAACACAATGAAAACCAAACAGCCACAAACACAAAGCCATCTCAGAGACACAAAACAACCAAAGGAACAAAACCTCAAAGAAATGCAAAGTGACAACAACAGAAGGCCAAACGCACACAAATGAAATCAAAATGACCACAGAGAGGAAAAACTGTTACACAAAAACAAAACAAAGGGAAATGGACTGATTCTTATACAACGCTTCCTGACTCCACCTGAGCACTCAGCGATTTATACAACATCCCTCCTTCACCCATTCAAGTGCTTCCTGTCCAACATTCACACTCATGCATATTCTGATGGATGCATTGGAGAGCTGCTTGGAGTTACGCATCTTACCCAAGAACATTTGGCATGCAGACTGGAGCAGCCATAACCTTACAGACAAAAACATTATCAGAAAGAAACAAAAAAATGACCAAAGAAAAATGAGATGCCGACACACTCGGCTCAGAAACACTAACAAAATGACTCAAACTGACTACAAACATAAAAAAGCAGGACAGCAGGTAGAAAACTGGCGTATGATGATGATGATGATGTTTTTCCTAACAGCTCCTTCAGTGCAAACAAGAAGTCAGAGATTTGTAAATGAAATGTTTTTTGTAATGAGGCCGATTTGATGCAGTTTCAGGAGTTTTCCAAAATGTCCTCGAGTGTTTCAGGCTGTAATTCGCTCGACACAATAATACAAGTTTGTCTCTCCTTCACAGATCCACCTCCAAAGAAAAGCAGAGCGTTTTTTCCCAGAGGGCCGTGCTTTCCATGGAGACCGGCCACAGCTAAAATACCACCGCTTACCTACAAAGACATCATTCTTTACACTCACAGAGGGACTGAGTCACTGCTTTCTTGCTCGTGGTGCTCCTGTGTGAGTCACTTTGCTCTCAGCCGCTCTCCTTCTCAGCAGGTTCCTATTGAAGCCTTCAGACCTCCTGCTGCTCCGCGATAAAGGAGACACACAAGAGACAGGAGAGGCCGTTCCCTCGGGCGCCGGGGGCGAGGCAGGGAAAGGGTAGGAGGAAAGAGACCTGTTGCTCTGACATCTGTTGATTACGAGTTCACACTAATAAGGATAATCTGAGAATGCCTGGATCTGGTGTGGTGACAAGAATGTGCGGTGGTGTTTTCTGGGAATTCTCTGAAGTGAGAGCAGAACAGCCACTTCCACATGTGTGACTATCAGCGAAAAGCTGCTGTGCTCCTCATATTTATCTACATCTTGTAAAAGATCTTGAAGTGTTGACAAAAACGGCAAGAGTGCACAGACACCTGCTCCGAGATATGCACCAGTGAGCCACAACATTAGAAACGCCTGCCTCACAATAGCCACGTTTACATTAACACATTTAACTGGATTAAAAGCCTGACTGGTTATACAGGTCAGCAGTGGGATTGGTCTGTTACATCCACCAACGACATCAACACAACAGGAACACGATGTAGGTCCAAAAGTCACAAATGTGAGCGAAGGTTGTGGCACACCAAAGGTGACCATGCAAAGATAAATGCAGGCATTTGTTTACATCAGAACTTCTACTTCTTACTACAAAGTAGGGCTGCCACAAACGATTATTTTGATAGTCGACTAGTCACCGACTATTTTTGCGATTAGTCGACTAATCAGATCATCATCCATTGGACGTAAAACTACAGCTTATTGCACCAGCAGCATCTGCTCTTATATAACTATCATTAGCTTACAGCTTTAAGTGTTTAAGGTCTGTGCTAACTAAAAATAAAGACAAGATGATAGTTTATTAAATTTTAATGAAATTTACAGATTGTTTCGGTAAAGTTTAATAAACTCCTTGCTATCTAAAATATAACAGGACACTGGAGTATATTCTGGAGCATCTCACACTTCTGATAATCAGCTGTCTGCTTGACGTTTATTCAGCTGTGTAAAAACTATAACTTTAATCTCAGCCAAACCGATTTACTCAGGAACAAATACTAAAAAAAAAGCCAAACAATAACATTTTTAAGTTATCTAAGTGACTCATATATCATGTTTAACCTGAGTAGCGAAAGACGGCGGTGGGTTTGAAAACGATTTGCCAGGAGTCCGGTGTTCTCACGGCTCTAGTGACCTAGCCCCCGGCTAGCTATCGAGCTAGTGGGTAACAGACGTCTCCGAAAACGTCGGAGCGCTTTTGAAAATATGTGGTGTCCTGATAAACTGAGCAGATATTTGAGGTTTACACAGCTACATTCTCCTGAAAATATGTTAAACGTTTATTTTGTGACCCAGAAAGAATAATAAGAGTAAAGTTAAAACTAACTAGCTGCCGCCATTGTTGGAAACTAAGCTGGGCTGCGCTATGAATTCTGGGACACAGCTTTCTTCTTCTTCTTCGGGGTTTAACGGCAGTTGGCATCCTTGTACATGCAGTGCTGCCATCTTCTGTTTCAGTCCGTTATTACACTCTTAAATCCTGCTACTTATTCCTGCGTCTTTGGGATCTTACAAAGCTTCAAACGAGGCGTCGACTATTAAATCAGTCGTCGACGATTTTAATAGTCGATTAATCGTGGCAGCCCTACTACAAAGTTAGTCAATTCTCCACAGAATGATCATGGATACTAACGGACCTACAATTCACATCAAATGCCACCTTCACCCTTTATTATCACCCAGTAAAACACAATAAAGTCATGATTCAGTCTTATGAATGAGCCCACAGGTCTCTGTTACTGCTTTTACAGTTCGGACCAAAGTCTGCATTCGTCCACAGAAATGGACATTTTTCATATCAAATGGTTCTTTAATGATTCCAACTACCAAATATCCAGTACATGTCTCTAACGTCTGCTCAAATGGCCCCCACAGGCAGGGTAGAAAGAGGCTGTTGTTTTCTTGGCAGCAGTGATTTGGTGTGTTGTGACAGACAGAGCGAGAAAACACCTTCATATAACGCGATAAAGAGCCCTTTCACATGGCTGTAGGCTGCATCTGTACACAGCTCTGGTTATGCATTAATCAAGCTCCTGTGTAGGTGTGTTTACCCTCAGTATACCTGCGGGAAAATGCCGACTGGTGGGCAGTGAAAATCTTATAGGCTGCCTTATGTTGGTCATGTTTACAAATCCATGCATGAAGCAGGAAAGGTTGGCAAAGAGCTTCCGTGGTGCCTGAGATGTTTGAACTCACAGATGGTACGTTTCATAAGGCCTGTAGATTTCTATATGGCTCACAGCGAGAGCCGTTACGCAGACGTTTCTAGTTTTTCTACTGCA